TTTTCCCGTGATAACAGGATAATTATCTTGAGATTACAGCTATTACTGCTGGTAAGAACTTGTGTTGTGCTTCTTAATTAATTTACTGCAGACAACAAACATTATTTCTCTCACTTACCGTAAAACTTCAATAACTTCCTACACCGTTTCCTGGCCTGGTGTGGGAACACATTTTGACAAATAAACCCAATCTCAATTAAACGCCTGGTCTGGTTTTTATAGAAGTTCTTTGGATGTATAAAAGCTCTTAAACCCTGTCTGGTCACCCACTTTAGCTGCTTCTAAGCTGCTTAGATTGTTAATACAAATATTAATGTTTAAACGTATGATCAATAGCCTATGTCAGTATAGACATGCTACACATCGTTAGATCAGTTAGATTGTCCACAATTCAATAGTTCAGTTCATTTAATGGAAACAGCGAGACCCATAGTCTAATTCTAATAGATGCATGGTAGATGAAAAGGGGGGAAAAAAGTGCCAACTCCCGTTACCTTTGATGCGCTCGTTAAGTCTGAATGTGTCTGTTCCTTGATTATTTATATTCCTTTACTCTATAAGCGTCCACCGATCAAAAGAATCAAAACAGCTTTTCAGCCGTCTGTCGGAGCTAGACCAAATGGATGACGTGTATTTGATGTTATTGGATAAAGTTTATATAAGTAATATTCTGTTTGAAATAAATAAACTGTTTCATAGTAGTTTTGTGCAAGAGGAATTAAACGCCTGTCCCATATGGACGCCTGTCCCAAAAATAGGCAGGGTCAATTCAGTGATTTTAGCAAATAAAAGCCCGGGCTATTAAATAATTGATCAAAGTTTTACGATATATGTCCCATTCTTTCTGTCTGCTGTTGTGTGTCTGCAGTGTAGGCCTATTTCCTAGTTTTTCACACATGATTGCAGGACTGTTGGAGGAGTGATTTGCTTATTCAACTGAATTCAAATAAATTTATCAAAATCTGTTCAGTGTGTTCCTAATTGTACATCTCTTATTATTAAAGGGAAAGAACAAGGTAATAAAAAAGGTAATATTCTGTATAGTGCAATATAAACTGAGCTTTTTAGTGAAAGGGAAGCTGTAGTAGTCACGATTGAAGGCTCTAACTGCAACAACTCTCCTTGTCTGTCACTCCTATCACCCTCCATTAACTTTAAAAAGGCACTCATATACCCTTTTCTTGGCAACTTTCAGAAGGGGATGCAAAATAGTTGTGGTGCTATGGTGCAGATTAGAAATGTAATGTTCATGTTAAAAAAAGTGATTGCATAAAATGGTCTTCTGCAATGTGCATCTGTAATTTGTATCAACAGTAATTTTACCAATTAAAAAAACTACTGTGCTTCTCTTAAGGACATGTCAGCAGACAGTTCATCAGGGGATTAGGACCATGACGTCAATCCCTCGCTTTTTCACAAGTCCCACCTTTCTCTTTTTCAGTGGATGCAGTTGATATATCTGTAATGCATTTTAGAGTGCTACATAATTTGGTATTTAAAATTGCTAAAATAATGGAAAAGTAAATAAACGACTACTTGGTTTTCCATGTACCAGAAAGCTTTTACAATCTTAAGTTCCTTTCTAAATGTCTAAAAACCAGACTATTAATTTATCATCTAGACTATATCATTTATAGGTTCTTTGAGTGAATCTGTGTATCAATATACAGTATCTCACAAAAGTGAGTACACCCCTCACATTATGGTAAATATTTAATTATATCTTTTCATGTTACAACACTGAAGAAATGACACTGCTGCAATGTACAGTCCTGAGTGTGCAGCTTGTATCACAGTATAAATTTGGTGTCCCCTTAAAATAACACAGTAACAAATCACTCAGCCATTAATGTCTTAATCGCTGGCAACAAAAGTGAGGACACTGAAAATGTCCAAATTGGGCCCACAGTGTCACTATTTTGTGTGGCCACCACTATTTCCCAGCACTGCCTTAACCCTCTTGGGCATGGAGTTCACCAGAGCTTCACAGGAGGCCACTGGAGTCCTCTTCCACTCCTTCATGATGACATCACGGAGCTGGTGGATGTTAGAGTCCTTGCGCTCCTCCACCTTCCGTTTGAGGATGCCCCACAGATGCTCAATAGGGTTCAGGTCCAGTAATCCATGTCCTCAGTCTGCTTGTCTTCAGAAAACTGTTTGCGGGCTTTCTTATGCATCATCTTTAGAAGACGCTTCCTTCTGGGACGACAGCCATGCAGACCAGTTTGATGCAGTGTGCGGCGTATGGTCTGAGCCCTGACAGGCTGACCCCCCACCCCTTCAACCTCTGCAGCAATGCTGGCAGCACTCAGACGTCTGTTTCCCAAAGACAACCTCTGGATGTGACGCTGAGCACGTGCACTCAGCTTCTTTGGTCGACCATGGCGAGGCCTGTTCTGAGTGGAACCTGTCCAGTTGAACCGCTGTATGGTCTTGGCCACCGTGCTGCAGCTCAGTTTCAGGGTCTTGGCAGTCTTCTTACAGCCTCAGCCATCTTTATGTAGAGCAACCGTTCTTTATTTCAGATCCTCAGAGAGTTCTTTGACATGAGGTGCCATGTTGATCTTCCAGTGACCAGTGACGGAGGGTGAGAGCGAGAAGTCCAAATTTAACTCACCTGCTCCCCATTCACACCTGAGACCTTGGAACACTAACGAGTCACATGACAACAGGGTGGGAAAATGGCTAATTGGGCCCAATTTGGACATTTTCACTGTACTCACTTTTGTTGCCAGCGGTTTAGACATTAATGGCTTTGTGATGTGAAGCTGTACACTCACTAGTTTACACTGTAGCAAAGTGTCATTTTGTCAGTGATGTCACATGAAAAGATTTAATCAAATATTTACAAAAATATGAGGGGTGTCCTCACTTTTGTGAGATAATGTAGGTTGATACACAATGTTGGATTGAGTATTTAGGCTTTCCTAACCTGAGATAAAATAGGATGAAATAAGATCAGATAGGATTCTTAAAGTTAGTTAGGATTTGCTTCTGTAATACCAAATTGAAAAAAATCCTATCTTGGACTCTTCCTATCTTAACTTAAGACTTAAAGTAGGAAGTTTCTGTAATACAGCCTCTGGTTTCTAAGCTCACAAGCTTACGTTCTAAAGACGTCCTACACTTGTTGGTCCATCGTGTCCATCAGAACTAGGTAAAAATGCTACCACGTTTGTTGCGCTTTCTGCTTGGAACCTTCTTCAGAACTCATTGAAACTGACTGACTTTTTTATTTCTCATAGACAGTTTCTTTCAATTCTGAAGGATATGGAGCAGGTGAACACTGGTCAGTGTCTTTGTTTATAAAATGGTTTTCTGCCTTATTCAGCTAACTAAGAGGCTTGTGTTATTTATGTATGTATACCTGTTGTCTTTCATGTTTGAAAATTGTCCTTTATCAATATTTTTTTTTCTTGGCCAGATCTCTCTTGCAAAAGAGATTTTAATCTGAATGAGACTAACCTAGTTAAATAAAGGTTAAATAAAATAAATAAATAAATTTAAAAAATCAAATTGCTCCTGAATGCCAGCTCACTGCTCTCAGTGTGAGTGCTTGTGTGAATGATGAATCAGAAAACAAATAAAATCTAAAACTTGGGTTAGCTCTTTTGGTAGAGCGTGCACCGCATGTACAAGGCTGAGTCCTTACTGCTGCGGCCTGGGTTCGAATCTGGCCTGTGGCCCTTTGCTGCGTGTTGCCGTCTATCTCATTTCCCGTGTAATTTCCCGGGTAATTTGGGGTTCAGTGTCTTGCCCAAGGGCACTACGACATGCCGCCTGGATTTAGAACCACTGATCTAGAGAGCTAGAGCCACAGCCTGAGCCACAGGGGGAAGCGAGGAACGATCTGAAGGAGTTTGAAGGGGTGTGATGGTGCCTCCATGTTTCATGTAAGATCATGAGATCGATGTTGTTTGTACTATCTATAAATTCAGGACTTGTAGCTGTCAATTTTCAAAGTTGTAGAGCTCAGTCCCTGAATATTCCAACTACTAACTGAAAAGGATGCTATACTCTCATTAAAATATGTAGTGCTTCACAATAAAGTATTAAACACATTTCAATCAAAATCTGAACTGTACTAAACTAAATTGTTACTTTACCAAATGGCCAATTTAACTTTGCGACAATTAAAGGGTCCCAGAAGCGTCCCAGAGGCAGCTTTCTGCTCCTCAGAGAATAGGCAGCAGGTCTATTGCACGAGCAGATTGAACTGGGCAGGAAGTCAGACACATAGAGAATCTGGTCAATTTTGTCCCCTGTGGAGACTTAAACCACTATAAACATGGATAAAACAGACCCAAAAATCTAAACATGTCAGCAAAATCAGGCAGGCGAAATGCTTTGATTCTGAAATGGTCCCTGTGGGAAATACACAAACAACAAAAACGGGCTCATAGAGAGCTGTGAAGAGGGTAGTAGAAGCACAAAAAAGACAAATAAATAACAAGTCAATAACGTGGGGCAGGCTGCACTCTCCTCTGCTGACACGCTTCTGAGACGCTTCCAGTGGACTTTGACGCCGGACTACGGACGGATCAAAACCGTGACTCAGCCATAGTTGGAGTCTAATAATGGGGATGCTTTTTCTGCTGATGGTCTCTCTGGTGCTGAAGGGGAGGACTGTCCCTCTAGTTTCCACTTTTTACTCAGTTCTTTGTGCTGGACCATCAGCTGTCCTGGGACTTCTCTCTCTCTCTCTCCCCCTGTGTCTGTTTCTTTCTCCTGCCGTGTGAGTGGGTTGCTTGAGTTCTGCTTCTGTGTTTATGTAGTTTCTTGGGGAGTTTTTCCTTATCAGAATCAAGGGTCTAAGGACAGAGGGTTATGCTGTACAGACTATACTGGGGCTGGTTTGTGAATTGTGATATTGGGCTATATAAATAACATTAACTTGACATTGCTCACATACCCAGAGATGTACCACAGAAAGCAAGCTGTAAAGTACATACTATTTTTATGTTAAATTGTCAGAAAAGGTATATTTTGTGGTCACTCACCTTCTGCAAATTGACAGCAGCAGTTTTAGATTCTGTGAAAGATTATTTCCCCAAATGCACCCTAGAACAGAGAGAAGAGAACACAATGTCCCATTACAACCTTGGTGCAGTTTAGACAGTTATCTATTAAATCTAACATTTTGGTCCGTACAAATTGTCAGACACCCTCACTAACAAATCAAAGATCAACATTAAATTTTAAATTTTGCAAATAAATGAGACCTATAAAGAAATAAAAGGAAGGAGGAAGATGGAACTCTTGTTCATCACTCTCTCGCTGTCTTTTCTCTGTAATAACAAGTCAGACAAATGTGTTTTTTCCGTCCTCATTAAAGACGACTATTCTTTGTGAGGGTGTTCCACCTTCAGACAGGCACTCAACACACACACACACAGCACACCCTCACACAGTAAACACACACACATACAGTACATCTTTGTCAAAGGTATGTTCACTCAACTGAGAGCTATAACCCAGATTTGCTCTGCATGGACATGAAAAGATAGATGGTTGGCTTCTGTGTTTCAGAAATGAACAACTCCATAGTGTGTTTGTGTGGGTCTTTTTTAATGACAATATATTCATGGTCAGCACACTCTTTGCATTGTAAATTAGCTTTGCTTATACCATTGCATGTGCACTTTCCCTTGAACATGTTATTATTAATGGAATACAACTGTCAAGAAATAATACTGCACTCTGTCAAATGTTTTTCCTTATGACTATGTTATTTTGTGCATACTATCTCATGCTTTAAGTCTGCATGTTAAAAAGCCTCGTCTCCAGCTTTGCTACTGTAGAAATATTCATTAATGCTGAAAAATACATGGATAATTTTGCAGCAGGTGTTGAGCTAAAAATGTTTTTATTGATCGTGGAAAGACCATAGAGTCAATAAAATCAATAGGCAAGCCCCCAGAAACAAGGCTGTACTGCAAATTTGGCATATTGAACCAAGTTGGAATTATAAGTCATGTGATGTGACTTCAGCACCAAATAACTTAATTTCAAAAGAAACAATGAATACATTTGTGTTGAAAAGGCTATCACAACTAGCTAACAAGCTATCTCAGTAGGTCCAATTAATCTGAAAGCAGCAAGAAGTCAGTCTGCTCCGCCAGAGGAGGACTATAATGCTCATGCTCCATGGACCCAAAAATGCAGAATCCAGAAACACTGTTGATCAACTGGTGCCAAAACTGTTCAGATTTGGGCCAAATTTCTGCCACATTGGTAGTTGTTTGATGTTTTTTGGGTGAGTCACAACATCCGATTAATTACCTGAACTATCAAGGATCTGTCTTTCAGAATCAGAAGGAGCTTTATTGCCAAATAGTGTTACACACATACGAGGAATTTGCTGTGGTGATAAGGTGCTACACGTAGACAAACATAGTTGACATAAATAATGTAGAAATATATAAATATGGAATAGACAATGCAAGTTATATAAGAATAGAATTATTGAATAGAGAAATAATACAACTATTTGCAGAATATACAACTATTTGCAGAACATGTGCATTATTCTGGGTTTGTGTAGTGCAGACGTATTGCAACAAAATATATAAATTGACAATATAAAAGTATACAAGGATTTAACATTTAACAACAAATGTGTGCAATATGCCAGGTTTGTGAATGATATGAAATAAAATAGTGTTTACATGTGCAGAGACATTTGTATTATTTGCAGGGGGGGAGTGTCAGTGGGGGACCCGGGGCTTGTTAATGAGGCTAGCTGCAGATGGGAAGAAACTGTTTTTGTGGTGAGAGGTTTTGGTCCAGCAGCCTCTTGCCAGAGGGGAGAGTCTCAAACAGTTTGTGTCTGGGGTAGGAGGAGTCAGCTGCAATCTTTCCTGCTCGCCTCAGAGTCCTTGATGAATACAGGTCCAGAAGAGAAGGAAGATTGCAGCCAATCACCTTCTCTGCAGAGCGAATGACACGCTGCAGCCTGCCCTTGTCCCTGGCAGTGGCAGCAGCATACCAGATGGTGATGGAGGAGGTGAGGATGGACTCAATGATGGCGGTGTAGAAGTGCACCATCATTGTCTTTGGTAGGCTGAACTTCTTCAGCTGCTGCAGGAAGTACATCCTCTGCTGGGCCTTCTTGATGATGGAGGTGATGTTCAGTTCCCACTTGAGGTCCTGGGAGATGATGGTGCCCAGGAAGCGGAAGGAGTCCACAGTGGTGACTGGGGAGTCACTCAGGATGATGGGGGAGGGTGGGGTGTGCTCTTTCTGAAGTCCACAACCATCTCCACAGTCTTCAGAGCGTTGAACTCCAGTCTGTTCTGGCTGCACCAGGTCAACAGATGGTCGATATCCCACCTGTAGGCGGACTCATCCCCCCCCAGAGATGAGCCCAATGAGGGTGGTGTCGTCCGCAAACTTCAGGAGCTTGACAGACTGGTGACTGGAGGTGCAGCTGTTGGTGTACAGGGAGAAGAGAAGGGGGGAAGAACGCAGCCTTGATGGGAACTGGTGCTGATGGTCATGGAGTCAGAGAGATGTTTTCCCAGCTTCACGTGCTGCTTCCTGTCCGTCAGGAATTCAGTGATCCACCTGCAGGTTGAGTCAGGCATGTTCAGCTGAGAGAGCTTGTCTTGTAGCAGGGCCGGGATGATGGTGTTGAAAGCAGAGCTGAAATCCACAAACAGGGTCCTGGATTAGGTTCCTGGGGAGTCCAGGTGCTGGAGGATGTAGTGAAGGGCCGTGTTTACTGCATCATCTACAGACTTGTTGGCATGTCTCGAGTGAGGTGTTAAAAATGTCTGTGAACACCGGAGACAGCTGATCAGCATAGTGCTTCAGGGTGGATGGGGAGACAGAGTCCGGCCCAGCTGCTTTGCGGGGTTTCTGCCTCCTTTGGGACGATTTCTGACAGTTCAGATATTTTGGTCAGCTGTCTGCTGATAAAAACACAGTCAATCACTAAACGAGGTAGACAAATATCCACTTTATGTAGAAGCTAAATTCTTTTAATATATTACAAGAGCGACTTATGTAATCTTTATCATTCGTTTAATGCCGTCGCTAACTTGCCCCACCATGGAAAACTAACCGATACACAAATTATTTTATTCCTTCTGCCATCAGGCCTCTAAAGATCAACTATACATGGGCCAGACACTGTAAATCACAGAAGCACTGTGCATTTATTTATCATTTATTTCCCAGAAATATGGTCCCTGCTTGGTCCATGCATGGCGACCAGTGTATTCGCTGCTTTGCTCTGGTGCTCAAATGCTGATATGTTGCCACTGACAGGGTGTCTGGATGTTTGATTGATTGTGGTTGTTCTGTTTATATTTGAAGTGACTTGTTGACTGAAATAGAATTGCCCTACAGGGTAAATAAAGTTGTTTGAATTGAATTTGAATTGAATTGATAAGGATGTTTTCCTTGAACAGTGCAAAATGTCTTTGTGAGAGGCCCTGACTGGAGCCGTAAAATTGTTTTGAAATAAGGCTTCCAGGAGCCTGGGCAGTGGCCATTCATGAATGCTGGGAGGTTTTGGATTTTATTTGCCAGACAAGAGCTCCAGTGGATGGGAACGGTTCTCTCTTCACAGATGGCTTCCTCTACTTCACATTGCTGATGCTGTATCCATGATGCAGTAGATCTGTCATGGATCTTCATCATGGACAGGACTCAACATGACAAGCAGCAGGGGAATCTGAAGCTTGTACACAGACAGTCGTTCGTTCTCATGTGGGATGCTTACAAGCTGCTTGCAGAGGAAGCAGCAGGGGTAGGCAGGTTAAAGCTTAATATAAGTATAGCTTAAACAAGGTGCCCTTTATGGAATTTACCAATGACTGCTAAGGGAATCAGCTGAGCTGGAAGCTGATGTGGCTGGCTTTGAGATGGGCTACCATCAGCTGATGTGCTGGGGTTGTGAGCGGAGATTGACTTTTCTGCCTGCCTGAACTAACGCTTTGCTTGATTTGAGGCAGCAATGTGTTTCTTTCAAAGTATTATGTACTTGTATTGTTTAGGTGGCAGGATTGCTGTAGGAGGCCACCTGGTGTTTTACACTGTTTGACTGGTGGACTACTTTAGTTAATTATGTAATTATGAATATACTCCTTATATTTTATATGACCTAAATTCAGACTCATATATACAGGTGTCTAATGCTGCAGTTTATAAAAAGGCTACTCATTAGTGTTTAGGCATGACAGTGTAACAAGTAATAGAAATCTTCAGTTAAGTCAGTTAGCACTATGTGTTGACTAATGTTTCTTCTGGTCTTTTGTCATTTCACATTGTGATTTGTAATGTTGGGTCTTAACAATGATCCTCTATGACAGAGCACCATCATGTGGTGACATGTATTTCACTCTGCAGCAAACAGAGAGTCTGTGTTTACCATCTTCCAGACAGTGCTAGTGTTTAGCAGAGAGGACGCATTATTTGAGGGCTGGCACATTGTTGTGCTTCCTCTCCCCTCCCTCTCACTGTCAGTGCACAGGCGGCTGGACTGTTGTCATGGAAACCACTGGGTAATTGCTTTCTGTGGGAGAGCAGATGAGGAGATGACCTCTTCAGGGGCCACAGTGTTCTCCCACCTCCACGGCTGTCACTTCCTGCCCTTTACCAACCACTAGAAACTGTTGATGGGAGAGTCAGGGTGAAAGAGAGATTTTAACATCAGTGTATGAATTATTTTGATGCTTTTTAATGCTACATCTTCTTTTTATGTTGAATGCAGTGGAGCTGGAGTTGTTTGTCTCTTTTTGAAAGGTGGTCTTTGTGAGGAAATATTTCTTTTCAGTGGAGAAGTGGTCTTTATTTTTCTGCTGTGTATCAAGTAAAACATCTGTTGTCCCTCTCAACCACTTGCCAAATTCTTACTAAAGAATAAAAATTCTTTTTAGACTAAGTTGAAAAAAATTAAGACTGAATGTTTCCCCCTTTGATAAGAATATCTCCACTCCACACAACAGTCCACCAGCATTTGAAAATGTTGTGTTCATCACCCTTCTCCAACTTGATATTGTTCCAACTAAGTTACTGAAAGAGGTTTTGGGCAAAATTGGTTTTGTCTTAGTGGG